AAACACTTGAGCGATGGAACACAACCCACGGCTTTCTAAACATGGACTGTGTGCCAAAAATATCTATACAGTTTCAAATGTCCCAATATCTGACATCTCTCTGGATGGTTTTGCTGTTTTGCTACGTTTTGCTGGATGTTTTTGGTGTCCCGGCCTCCTGAAACCTTGCTTTTGGCTGAGGCGGAGGCGATATAGCCGACTCTGATGCCACGATGGTAGCTGGCACTTTGGCCGATTTGACCATCTCCACAGGCTCTGCCACTGGGGCAATGCCTGACTCCACAAGAGTCGTTGCAGGCTGGGGCTGGCACTGCACTGTTGCTGACTCTTGAACATGCAATGCTGGCGTTGACGCTCGCACCGTAGGTACCGGTGCTCCTTGCATGGCCGGGGTTGTTTGCAATGCTGGCGCCGGTGGGGTTGCCTGCACCACTGGTGCTGATGCTGGAGCTTTGGCCAGTACTGGTGGTGTTTCGGTTGATGCAGCTGGGGTGCTAGCAGTGCTAGCGGCTGGTCCCTCCTTTGAGGCTGTTGCGCCTGGAACGCCAAGCTGCGTAAAAAAGAGGCGCAAACCACGGCGACGGCGACTGTCAAACGCCGACGGCGACTAACATGAACATCCGAACACGACATCCACTCACGGTAGACCCTGCACCCAACCGCTGCCTGCTTTTGCATTTTCAGGCTCCCGTCTACGCACGTCTGCCTGCTTCAGAATGCACGGAAATGCAATGATATGCACGGGACGGATTGTAATGACCTCGACTCAACGTGTTTGGCTTTCCATGCTTTGTTATATTTTGTTATTATATACCTCCATGTTCCTTCTTCACCTGACTAGAAAAATTGAGATCTAGGCCTAGGCTCCCAATGGCTCTCGTCTGTGACGTCTCGTCTTTTGATGTCTTTTGCGACCTCGCCTCCCTCACGACCGATCCACTGAAGCTGCGTAGGATCGCACTGCCACGCTTCGGATCCTGGCACCGCGCTTCAAGCTTGCAGTGTCTCCCTGGGTCTCTATTCTGTTGTCTGTCCTCACATGAGCGGCGGTCAAAAGGTCGTGTAATTGGCCTATGTCGTAAGGATTTGCTTACGCATGCACTTACGCAATGCTTACGCGCCCCAGGTTTTATCTTACGCGTGGGAAAGGGACTTATTTGAATGAAGCTTACGCGCTCTTACGCGAAACATAAACTTTAACCACACCACAGCGGCAGCTTACGCGCAAATTGTTTTCCAAGCAGAAGTTATGCTCAAGAACTGTCAGACGAGTCGGCAGAAGATGAGGAAGAAGACGAATCAGAGGCATCAAGTTCTTGATCACCAGGCTGAGGGGTGCGCTGCTGGGTCATCTTCCGTCTTCTCTTCGCACATGTAAAAGAGCTTCGAACTATTCCATGTAAAAGAGCTTCAGCTTCTGATACTGACGGGCAATGCGCTTGGAAGGTTTCAGAAATAGTTTGCAGGACGCGCTGTCTTTGTCGCCATTGCAGTTCAGAGAAAGGCTTTGCTTTCGGAGCATGTGAGCATCTAAAAAATCCGAGTGGTTGGACGACTGGACTTGTATTTGTGTTCTTGCTAAGCCTATAGATGTATTGCAATCTCATTGCCCTCTCAACCCAAACCTGTCTGTGCTACGTCATCAGCTACGTATCGTTGTGACATGTTTCATCATATTTCACATGCTCCTGTAGTCTTCAACCATCTTCAACCTCTCATTTTGGAGCTGAGGCTGACACTGAGCTTGAAATCACCTTTGGCACACTGAACACCTAGCAATCGTCACAGAACAGCTCCAATAAGGAACCTTCCAAGTGTTTTTGTCCTCCTTCAAAACGTGCGCGGAACCTTCCAAGTTCCAAGCTTGTGTCAAGTTCCTAGACTGCTTCGATTCCCAAATGCGCAGTCTTCGATCGCGATCTTCGCCCATTGCATGTGCCAATTTCGGCGAACACATTTCGATCGCCTTGGCAGGGAGCGGTCTCCAACGCGCCTGGAACGGTCCAAGCGGTCTCCAGAGTCTGTCTGTAGGGGAGAATCAAACTGCGGCTATAGACCGCAACCAAGTGCTAGCCATTTCAATGGGTGCATATTGAAATGGGGGAGACGTCTACCAGGTGGGTCACCCTTTTTCAATATCCAGCCACATGTCGACAGCAACTCTTAAAAAGAGGAGACACATTGAACATACCATTGGAGTAGCTCCACATGCTGGAGGTAGAGCAGGATCAAATGGGTCGCCTTGTGGTTTGCAGGGTCGACGTTGGGTGTCACTCCCACCGTGTCTGCGTTCTCCATCGCTGTGAATACATAACACACATTCGTTGACCCGCTATTAGGTTGGAGGCCATCGCTATTTGGTTGGAGGCCATTGCTATTAGGGTTGGAGGCCATCGCTCAGGATTTAATATGACGCACATTGACGCACAGTTGGCAAAGGGCAATGCCTTCTCCAACATTTGTCGACAGGACCCAATATGTCCAAGTCCAAGCCTCTGGAACATAGCTCAGCAACTCTCCATTGACGGCACCTCCAACGTGTTTGGGGTATACCGGGTAAACATGCTACATTCTATGCAGCCTGCAAAGCGCCTCCAAATTCAAACAATTGACAAGAATTAAGTACCATCCTGCCTTTGCGTGACGTCAGCACCTGTCTGGGAGGATAGCCCGTACCCAAGTAGCGCAACGTTTCGCCTGCCACTTTGCATGTACAACATTTTGCAACTATCTGCTTGACAGTTGTGCCAAAAGGCACGGAAAATAATGGAAACAGAAACACTGTTCCGGTGACATCTCACAATGGCTACTACTTCCTGAAAAGTCATGTCAATGCGTTGTGTAGCAGGTATGGTATATCCTGGTATCCTGGATTGGTCTATCAACTCCACAAATCGATCGCAAACCCGATACTTGACATGGTCCTTCGCAAAAGCAAGCCGATTGGAAACCACAGTCCAAGAGCTCGCAATTGGAAGTCAAGTCGGAGTGCTGTGTGGAGTCCTTTCCTTTTGATACATTTGTGTGAAAACTGTCTTCGATGCTTTTTATAGACAATCTGATACAGTAGTGGTTGATCCCTTGTCTTTAGAATCTCATAAAATCGGAAGGACAAAAAGACTAAGTGAAAAGAGCTCTCTTGAACCATTCCATCCAAACAAACACCTTCTGCTTCTAGGCTAATGGGAGAGTCCAACCAATTTTAGATTACATGTATATTATATATATACATGTATCAACATGTACGTACTGTACATGAATCCTGTGCAATGGTCTATTTTTGTGTCGTCTGCTGAATGCACATGTTCTAAAACCATTGCTGGACTTTTGCGAAACATTCCTAGTGCAAGACTTGAAGCACTCCAGGCTACTCATGATCAATACAATACTAGATACAACTTGCATTGAACATGTCCCAATTCTTTCTTTGTGACTAGCCGAAAGCCTTATAAATCAACAATTGAACCCAAAACGACGATGGCTCAAGGCTCAAAATGGCTCAAGTAGCTCTGAGTAGCTCCGCTTTTCGCTCTTCGTGATTCGATTTCATCCTCCACGCCTCCACTTGGTGGTGGGGTGCTCTGAGGGAACGGTCGCGACACCCCTGACACTTGCCAGAAGATCACTTGCCTCAGGGCTCAATCAATGTATTCATAGAGAGAGAGAGAGAGGGAGAAGAGAGAGAGAGAGAGAGAGCGAGGGAGGGAGGGAGGGAGAGGGAGAGAATGTAGATAGTATACTGACTGCTTTGTGTGAGCACAATGAGGCAAAAAACAACGGCAACAATGATCCTCGTTCGAGTCAAAAGACCACCCATCACCACCCACCACCCTCATCTAGGCTGCAGGCTGTGTCGTGAGCCGTGGCGACTGTACCACACTGCCCTGAGCGCGGGTGGATGGCCACTCGCGTGGGCCCCGGGCGGTGTGTGGCACAGGCGACGGGGAACTGCCACTCATGGCGTCAGGTCATGTCCTCGTGTTACGTTCGTAGCTTCTTGTTACTAGTAGTAAGAATGCTCCTAGTAGCGATGCCAGGAGCCCCTAGTAGCGTCCTTGCTCCTACTAGTAAGGCCAGGAGCCCCTAGTAGCTTCTTGTTGCTAGTAGTAATGCCAGGAGCTACTAGTAGAGTCCTTGCTACTATATAGTAGCGATGCACTTGTTAAGTCTTGTTACTAATAGCGATGCACCTGTTAGGACTCAGCACATGCAACAGCTGTTCCTTGAGATCGAATGTGGGCATTCCATTCCAGGATGCCAAGCTCGTTGCTTGTGTTTTGATGTGCGCAAAACAAATAACGCCCCTTTGGCCCCTAGGAGATTTAGCTTCCATGTTGCACTTGTTGTGCTCAACAGTCATTGGTAGCGGATTCAAAGCAAACAATCTATCCTTTGCATCACGTTCCGACGCTTCAGAGTCTGATGGTCTGACACAATATGGCAGTAATCTAAGAATGAGTCCAAACTAGGTGTCAGTTTTCATTATTTGCAGTGGTTGGCTCGAGCCGAAGACGACACATGCCTCAAGAAGTGCTAATTACACACATTGATGCACTAGGACCACTAGGACTATGATAAATTAATTGCCTTGCAAGACTTGACAAAGGGAATGTAGTAGCGATGGCCTCCTACTGGCAAGACTTGACGGGAATTGTGAGGCTGGAAGTGGAACGGTGTCCGGTGTCCGTCATCACACAACTTTTGAACGCTCGGACATCTTTCCTGGGTTTCGCTTTGACACTTCAGCGAAGCATGCGCAGGGCGGTGGCTTGCTTCGTGTTTCATGTTGCACAGGGCATCAACATTTCTTGACTCTTGATAAAGAAGCTGTCGGTTCAATCGCCTAGTCTGCCTGGGAGGAAAGCCACCTCACCGAAAATTGTCCGATTGTGATGCTGAAAGTAGCATGCACCAGGACCAAAGAAAATGCAGGACGGAGCCATCAAAGGCTTGAATTGAACATAGTCTAAATGATGGAAGTGGCACAAAGCAAGTCATGCTCAGAACCACGCAATGTCAAGTCCCCACACCTTCTGTGCAATTTCAAAGCCGGTTGGTAGCTGCCAGGCAAAGAGTAGAACGTTGACACCGTTCAGTGCAATGTGAGCATTGCGTGCCCCGTCATTTCCTCCAAGCTGCACCAAAAGACTACAGTAACGTTTGAGAACTAAAAGTGTCAACGAACTAACAACTGTCAACCAATCGGATGTCTGTGGAAGTAGTATGAAGTAGCCATTTGTGATCATTTGTGCAGTATCTAAACAATCTAAGCGTGTTGTGTCTTTTGTCATTTTACCATGGAAGAATTCTAATTACACTCTACGCACCTCAGGTCAACCCCAGTTGAACAGGATCTTTTAGGCGACAGATCCAACCAGGATAATCTCATATGCCACTGCCAAAGTGGACAATTCCAGAAACTCTCCATCCTCTTTTCGTTCTCCGTTCCTTTCTCCTGCCTTTCTCCATGAAGGGCACCAAGGCCGCAGAGATCGCCCACAGCACCACGATGGCCGCGCCGGCGAACAAGTGGGGCCCGGGGAAGAGCTTCTCGGCGCGAAACCTGTGCGACGGACCGACCGCCGGTCTCGGCGCCAACGGCGACACATGCGATGCATGCGAAGCTGATGGCCAATTAGGCGAAATTGGATCCAAGGAGCCAAGTGTTGAAGGTTCCATAGCACGTGAAAAAGATCCCGCCTGCTGCGCAGGCTCAACAGATTCAACAGATGTTGGACATAGCACATGTTGGACATGATGTTGGTGTCAGACCATTGTGTAAAAACAGTGCACTTAGTCAGTCCTTAACATGACTGGAAACCAAACCATGACGGTAGATGCTGTCTTTGGGAACAAACAATTCACATCGGTATATGCGGCTTACAATAATTCTGTGATATTCAAAGCACATCAACTATCCTGTCCCCGCACAAACAAATGAGCAGTCAAGCTTGGTCAAATCGAGAAGCTTCCGAGTCTCAACATGTCATGTTCTGCAATCAGTAAGCAATTGAACGATGAAAGCCAAGTCACCGCCAAGGATAAAGGAGCTAAGGGTGTGGTGCTTGTCCTTGTAGCCTGCAAACTCAGAGCCGAGGAGCCTTGATGGAGCCTTGATCAAGTTCAACTAGCCAAGGCCACTGTTCCCACAAGATCTAAGAACAGTTTCATACGCGAGGGTTCTTCTGCATCCTTGCATGTAGTAGCTTCTCTTATGACATATAATATATATATATATATATTATATATATAACCTTATACATAACTTTACTTAGCTTGGGTATCAGCCTTCAACCTGGCCCAACTCCTCCAAAAAATACAAAGAGAAGAGAGCTGTCATCTTCTGGACTTGCGATTGTGCACCTGTGCCAAACAAACCATCCGGTTTCACCCTGGCATACCCTGGCGAAGCTGCCTGCTTGCACCATTTCTTTCCTCTCCGCGTCCAATCGGCTAATTTCCTCCTTCAAGGACTTTGTTGCACTGGACTCCTTCTCCGGGTCTTCATCCTGAAAATGACTCTAGACTGGTGATCAAGCGGTGCAGTCTGCAGTAGAACTAACGAGTTTTCGGGTTTTGAAGCCTGGAGACGATCTTTGACGATGATTTATAGATCTTGAGTACCTACGTGCACACATGGATTTCCTGTGTGCACATGCACGTATCTTAGCAGCTGCAAGGTAAATAGTTGTAGTATGTTATAGTTGTACAGTGATACCACACTGAGGCTATGCAAAGCGATCAGCGTGCATGCAGGTGACGCTGCATTGCATAGTGCATTGCACACATGTAAACACAGCAGTATCTGTGTGTGCATGACATGCTACCAGCTATCAAAGCTATGTGGCCATGTCAATGTGGCCACTGCCAAAGCCTCTCCCATCCAGTCCGAGAAAACGTGGCCAATTCCAGTCCGAGGGTTTTGGACCCTGTGGCCCCCGTGGCCGAAGACAGCGGACATGGATACCGTCTTCGCTGCAGATTTACGTCGCCTGACCGTGTTGGTCATCACTATGGTCATCCTCTGATCAAACGATCCTGGTCCAAATACGATTTATCCTGCAAATGATGCATATGACCTGTGTACATCTATGCGAAATGATGTGCTGGAAGAAATGCCCCACCCGGTGCCACCCGCCGGTCAGCGCGCCTTGGGCAGCTTTTTCCGCAAAGCCGAGAGATCCGCGCCCAAGGTGCGGGTTTGGCGCCACTGCCAACCCAAAAAGCCAGTGTACAAGGTGGCGAAGAAAATGCAGGGCATGATGATCGGATGGATCAAACCTGATGTTAGTTACATTTGAGTGGCCAAGCAAAACTTGGAAGCCTGGTGTTGAGATGTCGGTGTTGAGATATCAAATTCCAATATATATATATACATATATATATAGATATAGATATATTACGCATTATTGCTCTGACTCTGCATTATTCTACAAGTACATTACAAAAACATCAAGCATAATCATTCTCAATCCAACTGAAACTGAGGCAGTGTCACTCTGAGTGGAACTTTAAGATATATCATCGTCTTTGCTGTGCAAATGCCAAGCAGCTGGAAGCTTTACCTTCGAGTGGCCCCCACTGACCACCCTTTGCCCAGGCCTCACTGGGCATCAAGGCCGCCGCCGCCGTTGCGGCGGCGATCTCGGGGCGCAGGGACGCATGCGGTGCCTTCTCCGGCGCCGAGACGAAGCACCAAGTGCCACACCACGCCGCGGCGGCCAGGGCCACGGTGCCCATGCGCCCACGTGCACGGGAAGAAAAGCGAGCCATGGCAGCGACCCCACTCTGAACTGGAGAAGCCTTGACCTAGAGAATGCGACAGGAGCATGAAAATTCGTGACAATCTCGAGAAATCAAGTGCGATGTGCCTGCCTCAGCAGAACATGAGAGACATTGGATGATGAAAATGAGGCCTTCAAAACTCAACTTCACCTAGTTGAGGACCACCCATTCACAAGAAAAGCTCAGATTGGCTGAGAGATGACTTGCGGGCTTTTTTGTTCAGCAGCAAACCCATACTAGAGAGAGAGTTTCCGCTCAAGTGTCCACTCAAACATCATATTTTTGGCAAGGATGTATGTTTCCCTGTCAGATTTGTGAATACCATCTTTGGACTCTGGACATGTATGTGTGTGTGTGTGTTTCAGTATATGTAGTTTATCGTTATCAGCGATAAGAGCATATTCATGGCACAATCGGCTCTGTGCATCTGTTTCGGAAACTCTGGACCATGGGACATTATCCTCTGATCCACCGGGCTAAAAGGTAGCAAGCTCAGTCGTCAGGCGAAAGGAGCTCAGGTTCAAATGGACTTGGTTTCTGCTGTTCTTAGGTCTTGGGATATCTTAGGAAGGATTTCGAGTTGGTTAGTGCTGGAAAAGCAATGGAATTGCCGACAAACACCACAAACAGCATCGCCTGCACAGCTCCAAGCCAAAGTGTGGAGCGTGCACCGAAGACATGTAGACTTTGCTCTTGCATGCATTCAGCGCGACTGAGGTTTTGCTGAAAAGAAGTGCAAATAAAGGGGCATCACGGCATATCACGGCATTCCAAAACAAAACTGCATCTGGCATCTGGATATGTGAAGCATGTCACATGTCACATGTAGGAGAATCAATGCGGCACAGTTGTCACTGTCTGCGTGATCCCACGTCTCAGCTCGAAAGGGACTGTTTTCGTGTCGTTCCGGCGAAGGACCGAAACACCTCTGGAGAAACACAAATCGTTCGTGGACGTCAGTGGACTCAAACTGAAACGCGTCAGTTCCAGCTACAACGCTTGTTGTCCTTGGCCAATAATCGCACATGGATTTTCACAAGATTCATTCGGGTGCTGCATCCATGTGCACCTGAGTAAATGGCCAACGGTTAGTTCATCTGTCAATCTGCCAACACAATTTAACCAACCACACCTGAGACTTGAGACAAGGCAGAACTTGAACCCACTGCAGATCTACAAATAGCTTGTCATGCTCCTAATCTCGCAAGTTCCTACTTTATCGCCTGATCTTCACAACGCACTTGCTGTGTTCACTCGCTCTGAGAGCTGAGGGCGCACCTGAAAAAATGTCAGCACCAGTTCGCTAAGGACCTCGGTTTCGATCGTTCACGTGTCGGCAAACAAATCATCGGCCACCTAAAGACGAGTGAGTCAAACTCGAAGCTCAAAAAAAGTTTCCTACTTGCGATGGCCTCCGCCCTAATAGCAAAAGGAACCTAATAGCAGTGGCCTCCAACCTAAGAGCCATGCCCTCCACCCTAAGAGCGATGGCCTCCAACCTAAGAGCGATCATCGCTCTTAGGCCGCCTAAAGACGAGTGACTCAAACTCGAAGCTTTGGTAAGAGCCCGAATGCAGCAAGAGCCTGCGACCAGCTTGCCTACGAGTACCACACAATATACTGCACATCACTGCACTGGGAGGTCTAAAACGTCGGCATGGACTTCCACTGCCGGGTTCTTCATCGAAGACTTCCGGACTTCATGGACTCGGACGATGGATGGGGACCACACCAGTTTGGAGTAAATAAACGTAGAGACTTAAAGGACCAATGATGTTACAAAACAAAGTATAAAGACTTGGGGACGACAAACGCGTCAGGTCAGGCAACCTGCCTACTCTTCACAAAGGACGGAGTCCTGCTTGCAGCAGTAGTCCTTCTTCTCCTGGACACGACAGCACCAACATGGAACATCTTCTCACAATTTGTTTTACACTTTCTGTGAACTTCAGTCAACCATCTTGGACTCGAGCTCGGTTCCCCCCAGTCCTGTGGCCATGAGTTTCTGCTCGCTCGGCCGGCGGCACAATCAAAGCCTATCCAGCTTCAAGACTACAAAGGATAAAACGGAATTTGGCATAGTAGTTATTTTGTTTAGATGTTCTCTTTATTCATCTTTATTCCTTCATTCCGTTGTTTGCATGCTTTAGCCCGGCCTCCGTCTTCCAGCCGACGACTGTGGTGGATAACATCATGGTGGACAACAACGTGGTGGACGTGGTAGCTGCTGGAGTGGTGGACTGCGCCACCAGCCGCATGGAATGAGCCACCAGCAGCGTGGAAGGCGCCACCAGCGGCGTGGAAGGCGCCACCTGCAGCGGCCGCGCCGGCCGCTCCGCCGGCCGCGACACCACCATGTGTGTAGTGGACTGTGACGTGGGTAGCTTGGCTAGCCACACCGCCAGCACTTCCTGGGCAACCAACCTTGTTGTGCGCGCAGCACCAGGTCTTCTTGGGAGCTGACCAACCAATCTTCCAATTCACCACACCCACATTGCAGTCGTATGGAAGGCTTGCAGGCGGTGCTGCAACTCCTCCGCCGGCAGCAGCAACGACCTGCCATGTCCAGAAGCCGTTGATTTGCACATGCTTCCACATCATTCCAGCGCCAGGATCCACCTTGGGAGGGCTGTTGCCTTCGCAGCCCTTTCCACGGTTGTTACAGCACCACTGCTTCTTCGGAGGAGACCAAGCTCGGAAGAAGTTGTTCAGGGCAGCATCACCTTACCAGGATAGCTAAATTGGATCATGATTTCCAAGATTCGCACAAAATGCAAACCCAATTCAATTGCCGCAATCTAAGAATCTACTCGGAAAATGATACATAAAATACTTATGACTTATAATTCTGTATTTGTACAAGATACTTCACCAACTAATTCCCCGAAGTGACAGTCATAGGGATCCTTTGCCACAGCATGCACCTCGCATCCGGCCGCCTGGACGGTACAGGAACGGCACACATCGCACTCCACCTGCGGCAGACATGGGCATTGAAATACTTGCATTGGCATTGGCCAGTCTCCCCCGATGTTCCCGTTCAAGTGGCTTTGCCTTCTCTTGTCTTCTCGGTTTGCAAATCAATGTTTTCTTCATTGCATTTGTTCTACTAAGCACCCTACGTTGAGACAAGCAAGCAAACATGAAAACGTTTACTGCAGAACAAAGATGCTAGGTTGCGGAATATAACACAGCTGCTCAAACTAAGTGCACACTCATGCACAGTCACCCGATGTAACATAATAAAATTACCAAACATCCTGAAACAGATTTTCATTTTCAAAGGCAAGCGCAGTCTTCCGCACCTGAATCTGGCTGTAGGCCAACTCACACGCGTTGCCCTTGCCTGAAAAGACATGGTGGCTTGCCCACTCAATACGCTCCTGCGCCCGGCCAATAGGCAAAGGACATCGGAGGACACTCTACTAACGTGGTCAAACTTTGGGGACAAGTGTTGAAAGTCCAGTGCCATGTCCCATACGATTTGAACAAGTTCTGCCATGTTGCGCCTGAACATTTAGTGATTACATGTGATTACAGTACCATAGATACTACTAGTGACTAGTGAAGTGCTTGTGGAAGAATCTGAGCAAACCATGGTCTTCTGGGAACCTTTAAGTCTCGCATCCGTCACCCGATCCTTGCATGTAGAGGATTCGCCCGCATGGTGGCAAGGAGTGTCGCAGCCCAAAGGAGAAAGGGTGGTGGCCGCACAGCCTTTCTGGAAGTTGCCGCAGCACCAATCTCGCTTCTCGGCCCCCCTGAAAGTGGTGCAAATAATCGGGCGGATTCTCGACCGATTGAAGACAGATCGATGGTATGGTATGAAAAAAAAAATAAGGAGATAGATAGCTACTAGTAACAATAAGAATTTAATTAGAATTCTAATTAATAGCTTCTTGTTACTACTAGTAAGGCACCTGTTACTACTAGCGTGGCACTTGTTACTAGGAGACAGATAGTCAGGAGTTGGTAAGTTGGTTGGAAACACGCCCATCAACAAGTGCTCAATAAACTTGAGGCCAGCGAGGGTAAACGAAAGATAGGGCAATCGGTGGCAAGAGTGCATTATGTAATCCTGGACAGCCAGTTTAACGTTGTCTGATCAATGTGACTACACCCAAAGGTGACCTTCCACCACTGAGCATCAATGTTGCTTAACCAGAACGGCCATCTCCACTCGAATGGTCAAAAGGGGAGGGAGGAGGTTATAGATGATTTTAGTATCACTGTGGTTGGCCTCAGGCTTGTCCTAGCTTTCTCAAGAACAACCTCAGTTAGCTAACGCATGCTAGCTGCTAACGCATGCTAACACTAGCTACCTCGTGGGCATGCCGCTCCGACCAAGCGGAACCCGTCCGAGACCGGCTCGGTCCGCCCATCGATCCGTGGGCCCCGCACCAAGTGCTCACCGCATCGTGGTCACAGTGGAACTTCACACAGCCCTTCTGCTCCTGGCGGGAGATACACTTGCAGCCTTAATGAGCGTCCTGGATGCTCCGTTCGTAACGCCAGGAGCCCCTAGTAGAGTCCTTGCAGCCTTAATATCTTCAGTTCTTGTCTGAAAGAACGAAACTTGCATGGTCAAACTTGTGGCGTCAGTCTATCCACCACACGTCTTGGGCGCAGAAAGAATCTGCCTTGCCGCAGCACCACTTCTTCTTGGAGTCTGACCATCCATGCAACCAGTTGTTGAAGCCAGCCTGCAAAGTGAGAAAGTGTCTAACTGTCTAACACTGTCTGTTCTAGAATGATCAGAACTACCGCGAGTGCTGCTTATTCCAAAGGAAAGCTCAAGCTGCAGTGCAGCTGCGCCTGGCAGTCGTAGATCTTGCCAGTTGCAGTGCCTTAAAACTCCATGTAGGCATCATCAAAAGGTGAAGTTTTTCAGGTCACATGTGGGTGTTGTTGTTGGGTGACGAAACAGCAGCCCTTCTGTTCCAACAGCTTTTTATCAGGCGACAGCCAGGCTGGCCATATGTACTTCAAGGAGTGTGATCGGGTGCCTTTCTTTTAGCATCTCTCTGCGATGAATTTGGAACCGGAATGAACCGGGTAGGTCAATCACTGCAGAGTTCAACAATTCTCCAAACCAAGTTATTGATTGTGCTGACTGGATTTGACCCAATTAGCTCCATATTGAAACACATCGTGGTACTGGAGTCCCTTTCTTCATTTGTAAAAGCGCATGCCGCATGAAGCTTTCAGACCGCCAGTGGCGAAATTCAAATCCTGATCAGCTGATCAGTTTACTCAAACTGCTTGGCTGCTTTTCTTGCACCAGGAGAAAACTATACTTCGGAATGACCCCATTTCGGACCTTTCAGCAAGCCACCAACGCCCTTCTGCACTGTGACGTGAATGTGTCCGTGTGCAAAGCCCTTCCAAGTTCCAGGGCATCCTCTCTTCTCCTGACATCTGACTGCACAAACGAGCAGAGTTCGACCACGTTGGGCAGATGGGAGAGCGAACTCACATGCACTGGCACTCTGTGTCATTGACTCTGGAGACGACGCAAGGAAACACATTCTATGCAAGGAATTTGTACCCCCTCTGCCCTTCATGCATTGGTCGGAAAAAAACATGACGAACCGTCAAGCCGCGTGCGTCGTGCTTGAGCGCAAGTATTTTAAGTCTTAAGTGTTTCGTCTGCCCTGCTGACAGCATTGGCCGAGAGGCATGAGAGCAGCAGTAATGCTTCTTGTAGTTGGACCAGCCGTAGTACCAGTTGGAGTATCCTCAACCCAGGCAAATTCGCTTCTGTATGTTTATGTTGTCCACTAATACTCCTAGCTCATGGCATTTTTCAAGCTGCTTGCAGCTTGATCTGTGGTCGAACTTGCTTGGATTCGGTTCGGCCCCACGAAGGCGCACCGTCACCTGGGTGCTCTGCGGCCGAAGGGCCACTGTTGCAGTCAATGTCAATGGTATGATGCACCGTGACATCCTTGTAGATGATCTTGGGTGGCATCACCACCTGCCCGTCATGTCTTGGCTGATTCTTGCACTTGAGGCCCCATTCCTCGAAGCTTCTGTTCACTATGTTCACTGTTCTTCCACTCAAAAAGGAGAAAGGCTGGGAAGGAATGACGTATAAAATGCCCAACCATCATGTGCCGAACTCCTCGAAGCTCAAAAATGCTTCGTGAGTGCTTTGGGATTCCTTGCACCTTCCTACAATACCTTGCCACAATTCCCCCTTTGATCTCACACCTCTCTATTGCGTAAAAGCTTCCAGTGTTTTGAACAAGCAAAGTCCAGGATCCCTAACTGCCGCAAGACGTGTACAAGATCAAAACAGACCTCAGAACTGTAGGGCAACACGACCTTCGCACGGTCGGCCTTCTTTGGCACGACTTTCGTGTGGTAGACTGTGTGCGTGTGGTAGATCTGGACCAGAAAACGGGCTGAATGGAAAAAGACCGCCCCACAACAGCACGGCCTTTGAGGAATGCTCAAAGGGTATCGACAGTATCAGGATGTATCAGGTCTAATCACTCCTGTCTTTGGAACGTTCAAAGTCTATTCATCCTCACGATAGAATGCGAATGTCCCTGTGAACAGTCAGCAGCAAAGAATGCCGAAAATGCTGAACATAATTCTCTACCAAGCGTCTGTGTGCGAGTGTGGGCATCCGATGCTCCTCCTCCAGCAGCAATAGAGACGCTTGGAGTGGGACCAAGTGTCCTGGCCGTCGCTGAAGAATGTGGAAACACTTGAACGGCTTGTTAGTACTAGTAAGGCACTTGTTACTAGTAGCGATGCACTTGTTCCTACTAGCAAACATGCCAATCCTTGGCCACGACTGGAAAGAACTTGGCCAAATTCAAGACAGGAAAGACCAACATCCCGAGTCCCGGACATCCCACAACTCTGACAGCGAAAACAACATTAGCAACACCACCACCACCACCACCACCACCACCAGCAGCAGCAGCAGCAGCACAAAGTCTTAACCTTCACGCAGAAAAAACAACATGCTATGATAATCCGACATGCCGGAGAGTCGTGCCAGGTGTGCACTCCCTCATCGCAATCGTAGGCATGGGACACGATCTGGGCAAGAAAAGAGGTGGCGGTCACAGACTGTCTGAAGTTAAGGGGTCCAGACCTGTTAGAATCATTAGCTTCTAGCTACTATACAAGTAATGGCCTCCAACCTACTAGCGGTGGCCTCCACCCTAGTAGCCATGGCCTCCACCCTAGTAGCTTCTTGCTGCTAATAGTAATGGTTTAAAATGCATAGCCTGCAATCTAGCTGGGCAATAAATTCCAAAGTCGAGACCAAGAATGGTCGGTCTCAGGATTGGATCTTGTGCAGTTTCTGTCTTATGCGATTTTGTACGTATGCTTCTCGCCTAACCGAAGCTGTTGCTATGTGTCCAACCTCTTTTCTTGCAACATTCTTCATGCCAGTTCTCCACGTTGTCCCCAGCGCGGCAGTCGACTAGAACTGACATCTATCATGTTCACTTCAACTGGCCTTCTTGGTGTGGTAAACGATGTGAGGGGGGCTTGGCTCCGGGATTGGCACCTTCACGTACTTTGTCCTGCAAAGTCTGGTGAAGAGCAACATCGGCAAAAACATCGAAGCTTCGAAAATGGTGCCTCTTCACTGGAACCGGGATCTTCTCAGTCTTGTGCACCACCACAGGCACTGGCACGGGCTTCTTGAAGTACTTCACCTCCGACCAAACAAATAAAATAAAACGTGAAAAGCTGCTGACACCTCCACGAGAATTGCGAAATTGACTATGTGGCAAATGCCAGTAGTGCATTTGGTGGCTTGAAACCATGCTTGCAATATTGAGTGCCTGGTATTTGGCATCCAAATTAAACTCTGAAAAGTCAATCTGCCATAGAGTTCCAGTAGGGGTTCCCTTTGAATAAAGTACATTGAAGATCAAAGTACTTGACAATTCCAGGGTATTCCCTGGCAACAAACAAAATTTCGACATACCCAACCCATCTTAAATTATGCCTTCGTGATGACCTTTGGCTCGGGAGCTGGCTCTCGCACTGGGTAAGGCACCTGCGAGAATCAAACTAGCTTTCAAATCGAACAAAAAGCCACCAAAGAGACTCCCAACCATGAGCGATGGGTCTATGGCGAAAATTGATAAAAATGGTCGCAGGACCGAATTTATCTTTTGTGACGTATGGTCGCACATGCTCTCCCCCTACCTTCACCACCTGACGAGGAGGAGGTGGCAAATGCACTGGCACCTTGATCACCTGCAACGAGATGGAGATGAGACGCTACTGTCGACTGAAATGTTTCAGGGCCGAGTGGAGTGGAGTCACGGCACACAGTGAGACGAACAATCCCACAAAGCGAAAGGACATTGGTAGCTTCTTGTTAGTAGTAGTAAGAATGCTCCTGGTAGCGATGCCAGGAGCGCCTAGTAGCGTCCTTGCTCCTAGTAGTTTGGCCAGGAGCCCCTAGTAGCTTCTTGTTCCTAGTTTGAACCCATCCTTTGGTCGCTTTTCTTGAGAAAATTAGCGGCCGTGCGCCGTATGAAATAGCTCCCTCGGCCTGTGGTGGAGGAGGTGGCAAATGGACTGGGACAGGCTTCGGCACTGGCACTGGGATGTTGTGGTTCTGCACGACGGTGTGGTAACGCAAGTGCCTGGGTGTTGCATGGCTGTTCCAAATTCAAGTCCAAAACCAAATGGAACTACAGTACCTTTCGTGCAAGTCATCTGTCTTGCGCGTTTTTTTTGCTTGTCCATGTTTTCTTGTTGATACCCATCTCCTGATTTGTAAGCAAAAGCGGCTTTAGCGAGTTCACCGCCTTACACACGGCAACAATGTCGGTTCTGCCAATCCTTCCACTGTTCAGTCTAATGGCAGGAGCTCTTGATCAAAATTAGTCACACTTCTCGCAATGCTCGTGCTGCATGAACAGTCATGAGTCATTGGAGTTTTGTTTGTCTTGCCAACAATTGAACCTGCTTTTGCTAAGAACCAACGATTGCGAAGGAGTGCCTGGCATCTCAAAGTTGTAGCCAATTCTATGTTACTTGCCAGATTCCTACACTACGAAAGGTGGTCAACTGACAGCCGGTCTGTCTTGTTTCGATGAAGGACGAAACGTGGTCAAGCACCAAAAAAGTGGAACATGTTACATGTTGTCTGTTTGTCTAGCAATAGTCGTGTAACCCTGAAACACTGCAGTGTTTCACGAGGCTCTGATGCCTCTTGAGAAAGCCTGGAAGGCAAACAGCCAACGAGTAGGGACCCTTGTCACAATGTTTGGCTCAGCAATGGATGTTTCCTGGAAGAATTGTTAATTGGTGTTTTTCCTTGATTTGTATAAGTTATTAGGTACTTCCTTCTTGGGGCCTGGCCCATCTTCCCTATACAAAGTGGCTTCACTACTCTTCAGTACAACTGATTTGCTGATCAGCTACTTTACGATCTTCGTCGTGCATCCACGGCTAACCTTGTAACAACAGTACTTCTGCTGGTCCTCGGTCCAAAGGTGGTGCCAGTCGTGGAAGCCTTCCATGCAGTTATAGACTGCCTTGGCTGGAAGTGTCACTTGCTTGTGGATGACCTTTCCTGGGATTGTCACCGGATCGTGGATGACATGGGTCTTGGTGCGTACTTCGTAGAAGTTCTTCTCAATGACGTGCTCCGGATGCACTGCCGCGACGGCATGCTCAGTTGCATAATGAGTAGCATCAACTGGATGGTAATGTCCATGGACATGATAATGTCCACCGACATGATGGACTTCGATCCAAGAGCCAGAATGGTCGTAGTGACCGTAATGGCCATTCACCCAAGCATCATGAGGGTATGTCATGCTAACGAAAGTACCTGCGGGGGTGTAATGTCCATAGTGTCCGCCATACCAAGCATCATGAGGGAAGTGTGCATGAACAAAGGTTGAGCCCTCGTAGTGCCCATACATCCCATTGGTCCATGAGTTGCCACTAACCCAATTACCATCCACAAAATGACCATCCACGAACCCTCCTCCAATGCCGCTGCTGCCATCGCCAATCGTCTCACCTCCAAGACCGCCGCCATTTTCAACAAATTCGCCTCCGAGGCCACTGTCGCCACCATCAACGGTGGCACTGCCGCCATCTCCAACATATGGCGGATATCCATTGTCTCCATCAATGATCCCACCTCCAACTGAGCTGTCACCACCTCCGACAAACTCACCTTCGCCAGCATCTCCCCCACCAATGGTCTCACCTCCAATGCTACTGTCTCCACCCTCAATGGCCTCGCCTCCAATGGTACCCTCTCCACCCTCAATGGTGCCGTCTCCACCCTC